ATAAACCTAGGCTATAACCTTACTTTCCTTGGGCAATTTCAATCCATCCCCCCGATAAAAAAAATGGAGGCAGAGGGCCTATTTTATACAAAATACACTTTACTACAATAGGGACTAACTGAAGCACATATTTTCTCCATCTTCTTCACATGGTACGTATTACGTTTCGTACTTCTTTGTATTTATACAAAGGTACACTCACATGTCTACAAATTGCTTTGTACAAGACCTAACTATGCATGTGAAACTCACATTTAATACTGAAAAATAAACCAGTAAATATTTACATAATTACTTTCAGATCTCTAGGCCAAAGTGCTAAAAACTTGGTCATGTTATAAAGCATCATCCGAAGCAGTAAAACCACTTTGATAACAGTGAGCAGGTTTTTAGAGTAAAAAAACAGTTATAATTTGGGAAGAGGATCTTCAGGTATAATCTAGCATATCATTTTAAGACACCTACTAGTTTGTACCCAAGTCCTGGAAAGAGACAATACTGTTAGCAAAATTCTAATGTATTTGTTAATCAAATACTTCAAAGTAATAGTAGGATTTGTTTTTTGGTTTGTTAATGAATTCAAAGTGTTACAACTTTTATATATTTTTAAGTTGCCCCCCAACAATTACCTTTAATGAGTACTAAATGGTGACTGTTCCATAAAATATTAAAACAAATATCATTTTAAGAAAGCATTTCATTTCTCACTTTTTAGGATGAGCCACTCAGAATACTTAAGACGGTATACTATAATCAGTTACTACTAGAGCCTTTAGTTTCACACTTTTAAATGAACAGGAAATAGAAAATGGAGAGTGAATACAATACTTTTACCATGTCCACAGCCTAAATTACAAGTGTATTTATTTACTTGATTCTCAACTGCTGAAGAGATAACAGTGGAAGAAAAGGAGTGAAAAACAAAAAGAGAGGAGCAAAATACAATGAAAACAGATTTTAATGGTACTGAAATTTCTATGCCCATCTCTATCATTACATGTAAAAAAGGGGGGCTTTCAAATTTAATGCAAAAATTCTAATGTTTTAATGTGAGATTTTCAAAGACAAACTTTCTACATTAAAGAAATAAACATGTCTCCCTTAACTACATGACTGAATATTACATTTTTTGAGGAATATAAAGTGGAAAATCTGCTAAACTATTAGGGTTTTGGGATTTTTTTATTTTTTTTTATAAAAAGGACAAGTTCTTCTATATAAGCAATAATTACTGATACTATCTTACATATAGGAAAATTCTCATTAAGATGCTCGGAGTACCACAATTAAAACAAAACAAAAAAAAGATGCCAAGAGTTAGGTGTTTTGTATCTAATACAGAAAAATGATATCCATTCTCAGCAGTTTTCTGTATTATATTTACATGTGGGAAGGCAAGAGTCCAGTTAAGAGGTATCATCTATATAGCTTTAAAGTTTATAACATATTCTCAAACACATCATTTTTAAAACACAAAATTAACCAATGATGTATTATCTACTTTCTATAATTAATAAACTGGGGCTCAGTGGAGAAAGAAAACTGTTCAAATTCAATAAAGTAGAAATTATCAGAGTTTACATTTCAACTCAGGAATTGAGGCAGTCTATCATATTAGGACATATGTATACTTTATATTCATCTCTACCTTACTCAATGGTACTATTTTCTCTTTGTTTTTTCTTTGAGGCAGAGTCTCACTCCATTGCCCAGGTTGGAGTTCAGTGGCATGATCCTGGCTCACTGCAACCTCTGCCTCCCGGGCAGAAGAGATTCTTCTGCCGCAGCCTCCCAAGTAGCTGGGATTACAGGTACCTGCCACCACACCCAGCTAATCTTTATATTTTTAGTACAGACAGGGTTTCACCATGTTGGCCAGGCTGGTCTTAAACTCCTGAACTCAGGTGATCCACCTACCTCGGCCTACCAAAGTGCTGGGATTACAGGCATGAACCACTGCATCTGGCAATTGTACTATTTTCAAAATGGCTAAACATCAATTTATAACCATCTTTAACACTTAATATAAACTACAGTGCCTCGAACCATTCAAACAATGATGTCAAATTTTATACTGTCTTGAATTTGAATGTGGGGAAAATTTTCCTTAAATCTAAATTTTAAAGAAAAGACAACTGGTCTCTTCCTTATTTTTAAAAACATCTTGGGTAACATACAAGGGTAGGCCGGGCGCGGTGGCTCAAGCCTGTAATCCCAGCACTTTGGGAGGCCGAGACGGGCGGATCACGAGGTCAGGAGATCGAGACCATCCTGGCTAATACTGTGAAACCCCGTCTCTACTAAACATACAAAAAACTAGCCGGGCGAGGTGGCGGGCGCCTGTAGTCCCAGCCACTCGGGAGGCTGAGGCAGGAGAGTGGCGTAAACCCGGGAGGCGGAGCTTGCAGTGAGCTGAGATCCGGCCATTGCACTCCAGCCCGGGCGACAGAGCGAGACTCAAAAAACATACAAGGGTAAAAAAACAAAAAACAAAAAACAAAAAAACAACAACAACAAGCATTGGTTTGAACTAGAAAGAATACAACCAAATCAGAATACGTTTACCTTAACTATCTGTATACTATTTGAAGATGGCAGAAATTCCCACTTAATATTCAAAAACATACTTTCCACCTTGGCTTAACACATCTGTCATATTGATAGCCTTCTCTATGACTTCTCTAACTTACTGAGTAAAGCTAAATCTGCTAGGAAGAAAAGCCAGAAAGTGTTTAGTCTGTTAAAAGGATACTTTATCTATAATTCATTGAAGGGTACAAGGAATTCCATACTTAGCTGTATGCTTTCTTAAGTTGAACTTGTTATTTAATTCTGTTTGCTTGTTTGTATGTTTTAAGTCTTAACTAACTATATAAACGATACCTCTTAACTGGAAGGAATGAGAAAACAAGCCAAAAACTGGAGAAAATATTTGACTAAGAGATATATGACGAAGGACTGCTATCTAAAAATATACAAAGAACTCTTAAAACTAAACACTAAAAAAAAAAAAAAAAACTCAATTTTAAAAATGGGTTAAGAATAAATAGATACAAAAAGATATACAAGGCCAGGCATGGTGACTTACGCCTGTAATCCCAGAACTTTGAGAGGGTGAGGCAGGTGGATTTCCCAAGGTCAGGAGTTTGAGACCAGCCTGGCCAACATGGTGAAACCCTGTCTCTACTAAAAATACGAAAAATTAGCCAGGCTTGGTGGCGTGCACCTGTAATCCTAGCTACTCAGGAGGTTGAGGCATGAGAATTGCTTGAACCCGGGAGGCAGAGATTGCAGTGAGCAGAGACCACATCGCTGCACTCCAGCCTGGGCAACAGAGCGAGACTCTGTCTCAAAAAAAACATAAAAATTAAAAAAAAAGATACACAGATGATAATAAGAATACAATAAGTATATTAAAAATGTTGAACATTTTATGTCATTAGGGAATTACAAATTACAACATCAATGAGACAGCAATACCCACTTAATAGAATGGATTTCAAATATTGGCAACACCAAATGCTGGCAAGAGTATAGAGAAAAAAGAACTTCTATTCATTGCTGGTAGAAATGGAAAGTGGTATAGCCACTTTGAGCTAAACATACTCATAACCTACAATCCAGCAATTGTACTATATTTGTCCAAATAAACTGAAAACTTATATTCACAGAAGAAACTGCACACTGATGTTTACAGTAGCTCCATCCATAATTGACAAAACCTAAAAACTACCTATATGTCTTTCTGTAGGTGCATGGATCAACTGTGTCTATCCAGACAATGAATATTATTCCATTCTAAACAGAAATGAACTATCAAGCCAACAAAAGATATGGAGGAAATGTAAACGCATATTACTAAGTGAAATAAGCCAATCTGGAAAATATCTGTGGCTACTAGGAGTTAGGAGGATAAGGGGGATGAACAGGCCAAGGACAGTGAAACCAGTTATGCATCATTAACAAAGGGATACTTTCTGAGATATGCATTGTCAGAGCTTCTTTTATCATTACATGAACAGCAATGAGTGTATTTAAACAAACTTAGACAGTATAGCCTACTACACACTTAGACTATAAGGTATAGTCTATTGCTCCTAGGCTACAACCCGAATAGTATATTACTGTCCTGAATTCCATAGGCAATTATAATACAATGTTAAGTGTTTGTACCTCTAAACACATTTAAAATAGAAAAGATAATACATCACATTATGACTTTATGATGGCTAAGAGGTCACTAGGCAACAGTTCAGATCCATTAGCATCCATGGAACCACCATGGTACACGCGGTTCATCACTGACCAAAAAGTCATTAAGTGGCACATGACGGTATTCTGTATGATACTACAATGGTGAATACATTTGTCAAAACTCATAAAATGTACAATGCCAAAAGCCAATCCTACTGTAAACTATGGACTTCGGGTGATAATTATGTGTCAATGTAGGTTCATGAACTGTTAACAAATGTACTGCTGTGGGGCAAAGTATCTGCAGTGAGAGACGCTGTGTGTGTGTAGATATGGATCATATGAGAAATCTCTGTACTTTCTACTTGATTTTACTAAGAACCTAAAACTGCTCTAAAAAACAAAGTTTATTAATTTAGAAAAAAAAAAAGGTATGGAGCAACTACTGCCAAAGACCCAGTCACTTAAACATTCTTGATGTTACAAAAAGTATTTCAGATTTTTGAAGCCTTAAAAACTAAGATTACATTTCATATATTATTCTTGTTTTTTTATTTTATGTTTATATAACACAAAGAAAAATGTATTACATATTCTGATACATCAAGCTATATTAGAATGATTTACATATTTGAATGTTGATGAAAATATAAAGTGTAGAAATCAACATTAGTAGGTAAAAACCCAACTCAGTTTAATAAATAGGCTCAGATGTGGCCTATATCCATTCGCTTTGGAATAATTGTAATAATTTTTCTAATTTAGATACAACAGCTCAAATGGGACATTAACACATGAATATTTACCTTTGAGTCATAATTTTGAAGGCATCGGGGAGGTAGCAGTCTGTATTCTCCATCTGAAATGGGTCAGCATCACAAATCTTGTCATCCGTCCGACCATAGTTAGCGCTCTCAATCATGATGACATCACTGCCTGGGCATCGCAGATCTATAGAATAACCTTCACAGGATAATTCTCGTCTCACCAGCCCAAATGGTAAAGCTGCTCTGCTGAAACCTTAAAAAAAAGAAAGAAAGAAAATTAAACTGTAACTCATTTATAAGATAAATTATTTTGGTAAAGCATTTTCAAGTAACATGATTCATGTCTGTCATCAGTCATAAACTCAGGCATTTATTAAATAATTTTTGGTTCTCTACAATATGTCAGAAAATTATTTTTATTCATCTTTATTTGGACTCTTCATCTTTACGAAATACCCTAACAAATTACTTTCTGTATAATCAGAAACTAAATGGCTTTTTTAGTAAATCCAAATAATGACAAATTTAATCATGGATTTTTATAAACGGTGACAAGTTTTACAAACAGAAAATATAAGCACTAATCAAGAAAGAATTTTCATTTGTGCAATGGAATGAAAGCTCTGCTACACCCACTGGCCTTACTTTCTTATTTAATGTATACACATTAATTGCTATTGCATTATCTTAAAAAATACCTTCATCTTAGCAGTTTTTTCCCCACAATAACTAAGATATTTATGACAGTAAGATACTTATGGCACAATAACTTATTTCCATTTAAATACCCTTTATTTAAAACTGACACTGAAAGGAATCAGCAGATGGACATTCAAAGGAGCCAGCACTGCTCCCATCCAACTCAACAAATGCAAAGTCAACAAATGAAAAGTACAAAATTCTCTACGATCAGTTACGTCAACTACAAAATTGACATGAAACATTTAAGACATTACTTTTCTTACCTGTACAATTCTAAAACAAAATAATGTCCATAAAAATGCTTAAAGTACATAAATATGAATTTATGTATGGTACATCAGGTAGAGAGTAGAGATAAACACTGTTCATAAGTGCTCTAAAAAAGATTACTGAATGAAATACCTAGCATTTTAAGTTTAAATCAGTTTCCAAAGTAGTAACAGAGCACAGGACAAAGCGCAAAAGCATGGAAAGCCAAGAACAGCCAAGAACTATGTGTGACAAGGACATCCTTGCTGTACTGGTGGGCTACCATCAGGCTAGCTACAATAGCAAAACCTTCTCCTACAATGTTTCAACTTTTTTCAGGTCTCTAACCTATCACCATCTATAGCACTCCTATTACAAAAAAACAGCAACACTTTCAGTATGTTTTTATCTCTATCATTTTCATCATTCTGTATTATATGCATTATCTCATATATTGCCTTTTATGCAAAAAAAATTACACTCAGAATAAACTGTTCCAAGTTATAAATTTCCAAGCTGAAGAGCTGGACTGTGCCCAGGCCAATCCAATGCCAACAGTTGTTCTCTTTACCTTTCTTGAACAATGTTTCTCACTAATTCAATAAAATAGAAAGTCACCTGGTTAAACATGATCTTTTCTTAGATGTAAGTATATTCTTCCAAAGCAGTACTGGGTGACACACTGGTATGATTTTAAAGAGCAGCAATTGTCAAACCTGGCTGAGCAATCAGTTCTTCGGAGAAAACTAAAGGTGTAACTGGACTGAAGATGGAAGAAAAGAATACCTAATTTGGAATGCAGAAATCTTCAGGAGATTGTGGCAAACCCCAAGCTTGGTAGGTTTTCACTAAAAAGGTTTATAGTATGTTGAGAGTACTGTAGTATGTGGAGAGGTGCACTACTAATGAAGAAGGGATACAGAAACGGAGCTGGGTAAATGTGATACAGAAACAGAGCTGGGTAAATGTCAGGACAAATGGTACACAGGCCAAACTTCCAAAAGGTGTTTCTTCCCCAACAGGTTCATAAACTTTTATATGTACACACACACACACACACACACACACACACACACACAGAGCTTTTTCTCCATCTCCTGATCTTGTACTGTACTACCTATACAAATAATTAAGCTTAAACGAGTATTACCACATTTGTTTTAATAGAAAATATTTTTATGGCTTCAGAAGCTGACACATTCCTGTGGCAAAGGCTATGTGAAAATTCAAACAAATGACATCAAATAAAATTTTGAAATGCAACCTATTTTAAATAGAGGCAATTTGCAATTATAATTCTATAATAAAACAGAATAAATCATATTATTAGAAAATGCTAGAAATACTAGAACACATTATTAAAAGACTGGCTTGGAGCCATACTCTCAATGCTTACTATTTTTTCAAAAACACAGAACTGATTATGAAGCACTGTGGTTTTTAAAACCCGACCACTTTAATTTTTGTTGTTGTTAGTTTCAAAGTTAATTTTCCTCTGCTTTTGAAACCTATTTGGGAATTGGCATAGTTGAGTATGTTACTGTTTTGATAATTCAGGGAGAGGAGTTTTAAGGCTTTAGTCACAGTCATCCAAAAAAGTACAGTAAGGTCTGGTGCTGTGGTTCACGCCTGCAGTCCCAGCACTTTGGGAGGCTGAGGCGGGTGGATCACCTGAGGTCTGGGGATTCAGGACCAGCCTGGCTAACATGGTGAAACCCCATCTCTACTAAAAATACAAAACTAGCCTGGTGTGGTGGCGCACACCTGTAATCCCAGCTACTCGGGAGGCTGAGGCAGGAGAATCATTTGCACCTGGGAGGCAAGGGTTGCAGTGAGCCAAGATCGCACCACTGAACTCCAGCTTGAGCAAAAAGAGCCAAACTCCCATCTCGGAAAAAAAAAAAAAAAAAAAAGAGTGTTTTCGTAAGGAAAAAGAAAGGAAAGATCAGTACACTTTAATAATTTAGTAGATTACCAATACAGAGTCTACTGGAGAAAAGAGATCATGGTACTTGCTATCCTTTGAATATGGCTTGTTCCCATCAAACTCAAGCAGAGGCTTAGTCCCCAGTGTGGCCGTATTGGGAGGTCGTGCCTTTAACAGGTGACTGGGTCTTTAAGACAAACACTTTCTTTTACCCCTGCCCCACCCCCGGAGACAGAGTCTTGCTCTGCTGCCCAGGCTGGAGCACAGTGGCAAGATCTTGGCTCACTGTAACCTCTGCCTCCCAGGTTCAAGCTATTCTCCTGCCTCAGCCTCCTGAGTAGCTGGGATTACAGGCATGCGATATCACACCAGGTTAATTTTGTATTCTTAGAGACAGGGTTTTACCATGTTGGCCAGCTTGGTCTCCAACTCTTGACCTCGTGATACACCCACCTCCGCCTCCCAAAGTGCTGAGATTATAGGCGTGAGCCACTGTGCCCAGCCCCAAAGTCTATGTTTTAAGACTGGGTTAGCTCTCAAAGGAATGAATTAGTTTTTTGCATTCCCTTGTCCTTCCACTTTTCAACCATTCTAGGAAGCAGCGTGAGGCCCTCACCAGATGTGGCTGCCCACCTTCAACCCCAGAACCCCAGAACCATAAGATAAATAAAACTCTTTTCTTTATAAACTACCCAGTCTGAGTATTTTGTTATAGCAACAGAAATTTAATCCTACAATGTGTTTTGATTTAAATCATAAATGTTCTTTTCTAAATTCTTTCTTACCTGTTTTGATTAAACTTTATATATGACGATATATCTTTACTAATGTGCTTATTAACATGTGATACAGTGCACATTCACTTTTAGTGAATGTGTATGTGTATATATACACACACACACACACACACACAGCCTGCTAGACTGTAGTAAGGCTTTTAGTTATAATCTCAATGCCTACAATAGCACACGACACAATAATTCTTATAAATGTGGAACCAAATTGTTGAATTAAACTAGTGATTGTTTAACACAATATAAATTGCAATGTGCTTTCCTTTGTAATGTCTATTTCCTTTGGTAGTGAAAACAAATAGTGAACATTAAAAACAAGGCAAACTACTTATCAATGAAAATTATCTGCCATCTCCCCAAAAAAAAAAAATTTAAATTGTCAATTTACTATTATGTATGTATCACTGGAATTGTCATAAGACAGATGGGTTTCATATTTATACATTTCTCTTTATCTAAACTCTGTGTTTCCAACCAAAAAAATTATATAATGAATATATAAATTCATTAAAAAACAAATATGAAGAGAGAAATAAATATTACTTGCAAAGCAATTACTATGTGCTGGCACTGGCTTAAATGCTTTATATGGATCACTTTATGTTCAACAACATAAAAAATAAACAATGGAATAGTTGCTGTTATAATACCAATTTTACAGAGTATGACACTAAGGCATCAAATAGTAGCATTTTTAAGGTCTCAATCTAAACCACAAGTTAGATTCTAACCCATGCAGGGAGCTTAGACTCCAGAACCCTTCTCTGATCAACTCTGACTACTCCAGCCATTTTCTGATAATGTAACAAGATTTATTTTATAAGTTTTCATAAAATCTGAAAATCACCAAAGAATATATTAGTAAAACTGACAGGAAATAATTATTGTAGACGTTCACAAAACTATATGAATAGTAGGGAAAATCGTCTTTGTAGAAACGTAAACATGTGTACCATAAATATAGAGAGCAAATGCTATCCTGTAGGTACACATGGAGAGGGCACTGAACATCGAAGTATGAGTATATGGGTCAGCCTTGTGACTTTGGGCAAAGTCATTTTACTTCTCTGGGTTTTAATTAAAACCTTTTCTGAAGAATTAAAGTTATTTCAAAGTCCTATAAAATTTCCCCAATCTGTAAGTCTAAACAGGCAAGCTCCTTTTAATCAAGTACACATGCTATTCTAACATTTCAAGTGATCAATAATTAATAAACGACTTGCTCTGTTTTCTTAAAATATAAAGATAACGACATTGTTAACATGGATGTGCTGTGCACATCCATATAGATGATGAGGTACTGTCCAAATAATTCTCAAAAGTCTGTGACGAACTAGGCAGGGTTCACACAAATCACAGGAAAACACCTTCCTAGGTTAACTATTTTAATCAATGACTTAGTGGAAAAGAGAAAATAAACACGAATCAATTATGAGAAAGTTCTCTAGTTGTGGCCATGATGGGAATGGGCGGTCAGACACGCCTCATTATACTTTCCTTTCATTGGAATTCTGGCACAGCTGACTATCTTTAACATTAAAACAGAGACTTTAAGACTGACAGAACTGCCCCCGCCCCCCT